CAGTCCCGAGCGGGCCCCGACGGAGCGCCGATGTAGTCCAAGAACGCGTCGACACGGCCCAGGGCAGCGCCACGACGGTCCGAGACGGCTCCGAGACGGCCCACGAGGCGCCCACGACGGGCCGCGAGTGCTCCCAGAGAGCCGCCGAGATAGCCCCAAGAGGCAACCAGCTCCCCGTTCCCTCAGGAGCACGTTTTATGTTTAGCATACTCGCCTTTTTGTCCGTCTTCGCAGCGTCAGGGACATCCCAAGGGGCCCGAAAGACCTTGCCAAGACAACCCATGGGGCCCCCAAGAGGGCTCCAAGACCAAGGGGACCCCAAGACGGCCCCAGAGGCCCTCAAAACGGCCTAGGAGAAGCCCGAGAGGGCTTTAGGAAGGGCCCAAGAGGGGGAATACGAGCTGACAGTTCGAGCACTTCCCCCCCCAATGGGCCCAAGAGCCCCCCAAAGGCCCCCGAGGAGCCCCCAAGAGGCCTTCAAGGCGGGCACAAGGCGTCGCCAGAGGCCACAAGAACCCTCCAAGAGGCTCCCGACAAGTACCCCTAAGAGACCCTCAGATGCATCTAAAGGGCCTCTGAGCCACAGCCCCGGCACGGTGGCGGGTTGGGCCGAAGGCCAAAACACACTTCCACGCACGTCGGCCGCTCCTACTCAAGCCAGGCGTGTCCCCATACAAGCGGATGTTGGACCAAAACATGATCGACCCACGAGCCCGGAAAGGAATGTAGAAATGTAAGGCATGGCAACGTTTCAAAGACACTTGATTGGGCGACGGGCGCATGCAATGCTGAACATATCGATCTTGATGTACTGTGCCGAAGAACGTGCTGTGGTACGCCGTGCTGAACTGCGATGTTCCATGCCGCGATTGTGCTCTATATAGCGTTGTGGATCGAGTGCTCCCTGGCATCCGAGTCCTGACCGAACTGATCTGGATCTTAAGCTCGAGCTGCCTGAGCAGATGGTAGCTGCCCCAGAACTAATCGACAGAGGGGACATGCCAGGAGGACGCGCCGCGGAACGTCCCAAGGGACGCGCCAGGCGACGTGCCAGGGGACGTGCCATGGGCACGCACCGCGGGACGTGCCAAGGGGACGCGCTACGGAACGTGCCAATGGACGTGCACCGCGCGACGTGCCAGGGGACGCGCCGCGCGACGTGCCAGGTGGACTCGCCAAAGAACGCGCCAAAGAAAGTGCCAATCTGCAATGTTGAATGTATCGATCTTGATGCACCGTGCCGACGGCTGCGCTGTGCTGGCCGTGCTGAACTGCGATGTGCCATGCCGCAATTGTGCTCTATATAGCGTTGTGGATCGAGTGCTCCCTGGCATCCGAGTCCTGACCGAACTGATCTGGATCTTAAGCTCGAGCTGCCTGAGCAGATGGTAGCTGCCCCAGAACGAATCGACAGAGGGGACATGCCAGGAGGACGCCCCGCGGAACGTCCCAAGGGACGCGCCAGGCGACGTGCCAGGGGACGTGCCATGGGCACGCACCGCGAGACGTGCCAAGGGGACGCGCTACGGAACGTGCCAATGGACGTGCACCGCGCGAGGTGCCAGGGGGACTCGCCACGGGGCGCTCCGCGGAACGTGCCAGGCAACATGCCAAGCTGCAATGCTAAGGGTATCGATATCGATGTACCGTGCCGAGGGCTGTGCTGAGCCTGGGCGACCTGGACATGTGAAAACACGCGTTTCGCTCAAGACTTTCTCAGCACATCCTCATGCTAGACATCCGCCTGGGCAACCTGGACACGTGCAAACGAGCGTCTCGATCAAGACTTCCTCGACACATCCTCATGCTAGACATCCCCTGGGCGACCTGGACACGTGAAAACAAGCCTCTGGTTCGAGACATCCTCAACAAATCCTCATGCCAGACATCTGTCTGGGCAACCTGGAGGCGTGAAACCAAGCGTCTCGTTCGAGACATCCTCATGACCTGGGCACGTGAAAGCAAGCATTTCACTTGAGAGATCCTCTGAATTCAGGTCCCCAGGAGAGGACAATCTATAACACAAAACAAGCGTTTCGCTCGAGACATCCTCAACACATTCTGAAACAAAACAAGCGCTTCGCTCGAGACATCCTCAGAAATAATACCGCCGGCCTCCTTCAAACTCGTCATTTATCGCAAAAGAATTCCGCCGGCCTCCTTCAAGTCGATTCCGGGGGTAAGCAGCTAAAAGAGAACCCTGGGCCCCCGCCCTTTCCGGGAAATACTTAAAAAATACCCCCAAATGGCATACCAATGGTCAAGAAATGCTCAACAAAAATACCCTGATTATTTGTTTTAGTATTTTTGAATATTCCTCCTGTAGAGGAACGTGCCCGACTTAAGCCCAGGGGCGGGTGGGCACTGGGGCAGGTTCGTGCCCAGGGGCGGGCGCCACGGCCACGTCGTGAGAGGAAGCGCGACGGCCTGTTTGGGTCATGGTCTGCTTCTGGGGGCCCCTGCCGGGCCGCTGTCTTGACCCCGCGCGAAACCTTCGACCTGGAGCGCTCGCGGCCCTCCGAGAGCGCAGATCATTTCATCTTGGCCGACTCCGGGCCACGGGTGGCGCTCACCTGCCAACGCCCGCGGCGGGGTCGCTGTCGCGCCGGCACGACACGAGCCTCCCCGGCGCATGCGTGCCGCGCCCGCCCCCTGGTCGATCCGCCCCTGGAGGGAGCAAGGGGCAGCATCAGCACACACGTAAAAACACACGTATTCGTGCCCCTGGAGAGAGCCAATCTATAGGTAACGAGAGGGCCCATCTATAGGAACATACGTAACATGATCGACCCACGAACCCGGAAAGGAATATAGAAATGTAAGGCATGGCAACGTTTTCAAAGACACCTGATTGGGTGACGGGCAAGTGCAATGCTGACTGTATCGATCTTGATGTACCGTGCCGAGGGCTGTGCTGTGCTGCACCGGGCTGAATTGCGATGTGCCATGCCGCGGTTGTGCTCTATAGCGTCGTGGATCGAGTCTTCCTTTGCATCCGAGTCCTGACCGAACTGATCTGGATCTGAAGCTCGAGCTGCCTGAACACCTAGTAGCTGCCTCAGAGCTAATTGACAGGGGGACATACGCGCCGCGAAACGTCCCAAGGGACGCGCCAGGCGACGTGCCAAGGGACGTGCCATGGGGTCGCACCGTAGGACGTGCCAAGGGGACGCGCTACGGGACATCCTCAAAATTCCTGCGCGCGGGACGTGGCACGCGCGAGACATCCCCGGAATTCCTGCGAGCGGGACGTGAAAACAAACATTTCGCCTGAGACATCCTCTGAATTCTGGCCCCCCACAAGGCCCACGCTCGAGACATCCCCCAAGTTTGCAAAACCAGCGTTTCGCTTGAGACATCCTCAACAAATTACAAAACACATGCGTTTCGCTCGAGACATCCTGCCAGAATTCTAAGAAATCCTGACAAAACAATCGAATTAGTCGAGACATCCTCGAAATTCCTGCGCGCGGGACGCGGCGCGCGCGAGACATCCTCGGAATTCCTGCGCGCGGTGCGCTTTTCCGCGTCGCGGTCGGGGTTCCAGACCCCGTTATTTCTATAGGATTCTGCGAAAAACGCTCCGCACTCTCTTTTACGAGGGAAAACGGGGGTCTGCGGACTCCGCTTTTTATCGAGGATCCGAGATGGGGGGCGCACTTTCCTCGAGCGGGCACGCACGAAACGCACGTTTTCAAAAAACAAACAACACTTTACCTTGTTATTTACGCAGAATAATTTCGCTGGCCCTCTTCAAGTCAAAACCGGGGGTAAACCCACTAAAAGAGAACCCTGGGCCTGAAGCCCTTTCCGGGAAAAACACACAGATACGTACCCATGGATGGGGCCAATCTAAAAGCATTACGTAATCCATGCCCCTGACCAAAACGTGTCCCGCACCTGGAAGGAGTATTTGCGCAGTGATGGCCTGCCCGCTGCGGCAAACGAAGCTGGACAGCTCCAGCCAAACGCTTGAGCAACGACAAACCGTCCCGCGGGGTTTCAAAAAGGCGCACAAGGCGCGTCATTTGTACAGCGTCCGGTGGAGAGGGGGCCTCAGCCAAGGCGCGCGTTGCCCGGCAAAGCTTTGCACCGCAACCGAAGGCACGGATGCGTGGTGAGCCCTCTTCTCCTCTCCCCTTTTCCTTACCTCCGATAAGCCCGCATGTAAGTTACGCCAAGTTCTCCCCCCGCCCACGTTCTCTCCTCCTCCTCCACTTCCTCCACCTCCTCCTCCTCTCTCTCTCTATATATATACTCGAAACTCTTGCATCCCTACGGTGCACACGGGGTCTGCGCCGCAGCACCAACTTTCTTCTACAACACCCCAGTAACGCTCAACAACAAGGTCTTGAAAGCGGGACAGTAAGCCCAAACACCTGAGACTTCGTGGCACGTGGAAGGATAATCGCTAGACGCCAATTGTCCAACGAAGCTTTCATTTACTATGAAATGACCCGCTTCTTGGATATAATACTCGTAACTTGAGCACGTATTTGATGTGTACCAAGCCCATGGCGTTGTCCCCCATGCAACGATAGAACCTGTACAATTCTCACGATCAAAGTCATTGAAAACTGCTCGGTCGCCGAGGCAAGTTATGTTAAAGCTACCAGAGACGTTCTCGCCAGTGACATCTGTGTAGACGTAGCAGTCCAGCAAGCCTGGAGCCTTCTTGAAAGAAAAGCTGTGTACAGAACTACCGGAGCATTCTGAATCTGGGTAAGCCATCCCGAGATACACATTCACCGAAGGCGCCACGTCCGCATCGCCGTGGATCGTAGCGTCGGCTAGCGTGAAAGCGCATAAGATGGTGACGGATGAGAGGACAATCGCCGACGACATCGCAGCCATGTCACCGTGTTGGACTCAAAAGTGGGCTGTCACTTGTGACACTTGGATCCCCCGCGTGATGAACAGCACGCAGCGCGAAGCACAACCACTTGAGCAAAAATGGCTACGGAAAACGTGTCCCGCACCGTGTGATTTATCGATCACAATTTCAAAAACCAGCGTTTCGCTAAGGACATCCTCGAATCTTAATTCGCCGGCCCACCTCGACCTTTATATTTATCGCAAAAGACATTCGCCGGCCCACCTCAAGTCAAACCTGGAGGTAAACCAACTAATTAAATGATCGACCCACGAACCCGGAAAGGAATATAGAACTGTAACACATGGCAGCGTTTTCAAAGACACCTGATTGGGTGACGCGCAAATGCAATGCTGAAGGTATCGATCTTGATGTACCCTGCCGAGGGCTGTGCTGTGTTGCGCCGTGCTGAATTGCGATGTGCCATGGCGCGATTGTGCTCTATAGCCTCGTGGATCGAGTCCTCCTTTGCATCCGAGTCCTGACCGAACTGATCTGGATCTTAAGCTCGAGCTGCCTGAACACATAGTAGCTGCCCCAGAGCTAGTGGACAGGGGAACATGCCAGGAGAACGCGCCGCGAAACGTCCCAAGAAATGTGCCAGGCGACGTGCCAGGGGACGTGCCATGGGGTCGCACCGCGGGACGTGCCAAGGGGACGCGCTACGGAACGTGCTGGGGACAAGCGTTTCGCTCGAGACATCCTGTCAAAATCATCCGAATTCCTATGCGCGGGACGCGGCACGCGCGAGACATCCTCCGAATTCCTGCGAGCGGGACGTGACAACAAGCATTTCGCCTGAGAGATCCTCTGAATTCTGGCCACCCACGAGGCCCCCGCTTGAGACATCCCCCAATTTTGCAAAGCCAGCGTTTCGCTCGAGACATCCTCAACAAATTATGAAAAACAAGCGTTTCGCTTGAGACATCCTGCCAAAATTCAAGGACAAGAACGACAAGCGAATTAGTCGAGACATCCTCGAAATTCCTGCGCGCGGGACGCGGTACGCGCGAGACATCCTCGGAATTCCTGCGCGAGGGGCGCTTTTCCGTGTCGCGGTCGGCTCTGCAAAACCAGCGTTTCGCTCGAGACATCCTCAACAAATTCTGAAACCAAGCGTTTCGCTTGAGACATCCCCAACTCCGCAAAACCAGCGTTTCGCTCGAGACATCCTCAACAAATTCTGAAAAACAAGCGTTTCGCTCGAGACATCCTCAAACATAATTCCGCCGGCCCTCTTCCCGCACGTAATTTATCACAGAATAATTCCGCCGGCCCTCTTCCCGTCGGGTCCGGGGGGAAACGGCTGAAAGAGAACCCTGGACTTCAGCCCTTTCCGGGAAAAACAGAGCATTCCGAAAGTATGCAAAACATAGAAAAATTGTCCCCAGGCTAGTTTTCGACTACTTGTGAATCTTCCTCCTGCAGAGGGACAAGCCCGACTTAATCTCGCTCCTTCTGGTGGTCTGCCGGAACGGCCGTCGTCGACGATCGCAGCTACACGAGTGTACCCGAGACGTACCCAGCCCCTTTTCAACGCAGGCGTGCTTCTCGAAGGATCTGCTCCATACGTGGATTAGCGATCCGTGGATTTGGCGCGCGGTCGCCAAATCCGTGGATCGGGGAAGGAGCCCTTCCCAAAATGCGGCCGATGCCGCCTCGCTCGGCGGCGGAAATCCGCGACTTCCAGTGGAAACGGGACCCGCCGCTAATCCACGCCCCCTTGATCCATGCTTGCGATCGCCTGAAAATCACGTTGCAAGGACAACCTTCTCCGCTGGACCTCCCAGGAGCCCACGACAATGGCAACAATTGCGCGCTGCGCGCATGGACACGTTTTCACGATACCCAACTGGGCAACACCTCACGAAACATCCCACGAGACACTCCACGAAACATCCCACGAGACACCTCACGAAACATTCCACGAGACACCTCACGAAACATTCCACGAGACACCCCGCGAAACATTCCACGAGACACCCCACGAAACCTTCCACGACGACAGGCAACCACTCAACCAAGGCGGTGTGGTCGTGCTGGGGAGTGGTCGTGCTGGGGGGTGGCGTGCTGTGGTCGTGCTGTGGGTGGCGGGGGGGTGGTCGTGCGTGCTGGGGCGTGGTCGTGCTGGGGTGTGGCGTGGTGGCGTGGTCGTGCTGGGGTGTGGTCGTGCTGGGGTGTGGTCGTGCTGGGGTGGGGTCGTGCTGGGTCCTGCGTGGTCGTGCTGGGGCGTGGTCGTGCTGGGGTGTGGTCGTGCTGTGGTGAGGTCGTGCTGGGGTGTGGTCGTGCTGGGGTGTGGTCGTGCTGCGGGTGTGGTCGTGCTGGGGTGTGGTCGTGCTGGGGTGTGGTCGTGCTGGGGTGTGGTCGTGCTGGGGTGTGGTCGTGCTGGGGTGGGGTCGTGCTGGGGTGTGGTCGTGCTGGGGTGTGGTCGTGCTGGGGTGTGGTCGTGCTGGGGCGTGGTCGTGCTGGGGTGTGGTCGTGCTGGGGTGGGGTCGTGCTGGGGTGTGGTCGTGCTGGGGTGGTCCGCACCCTGTGATTTATCGATCGGGTCGTGCTGGGGTGTGGTCGTGCTGGTGCTGGGGTGTGGTCGTGCTGGGGTGTGGTCGTGCTGGGGTGTGGTCGTGCTGGGGTGTGGTCGTGCTGGGGTGTGGTCGTGCTGGGGCGTGGTCGTGCTGGGCGTGGTCGTGCTGGGGTGTGGTCATGCTGGGGGTGTGGTCGTGCTGAGGTGTCCCGCACCCTGTGATTTATCGATCGGGATTTCAAAAACAAGCGTTTCGCCTGAGACATCCTCAAATTTTAATCCGCCGGCCTCCTTCGACCTCGATATTTATCAGGGAAAGAATCCGCCGGCCTCCTTCAAGTTGGGCACCGGGGACATGTTTACATACTAAAAGAGAACCCTGGGCCTACGCCCTTTCCGGGAAAAAGCGAAAGTTGCGCAAATGGCAGTCCCCCAAAGAGCCGCGAGTTTCCCGCTGGATTTGCGTACTCCCCCACTCCGCTGGGAGCCCACGAAACTGGCGACGGTTACGCAATTCGCAACCCTCTATGGAGCTGCGAGGTCTCGGCTGGGTGCGCGTACGCACCAAGGTGGCGACAATTATGCTGCAGTTCGCCCCCCCCCCCCCCCCCCCAATGAGTTGCGACGTCTCGGTTGGGGGTGCGTACTCTCCCACCCCGCAATGCCGCCCGGGAACCCACGAAACTGGCGACAATTGCACATATCGCCCCAGGGAGCTGCGACGGTTCGGCTGGGCGTACACGTACGTGGCGGCAGTTGCGCACTTCGCTGGACCTCCCAAGGAGCCGAGAGGTCTCGGTTGGGTGCGCGCACTCCCCCATCCCGCCGTGCCTCCCAGGAGCCCACGAATTTGGCGACGACTACGCAGTTCGCAACCCTCCAGGGAGCTGCGAGGTCTCGGCGGGGCGTGCGTACTCCCCCACCCCGCAGTGCCGCTCGGGAGCCCACGAACGCGGCGACAGCGCTGCTAGCTAGCACCACCAGGGGAACTGCGAGGTCTCGGCTGGGGGTGCGCCTTCTCCCCTAGCCCGCCGTGCCTCCCCAGGAGCCCACGAAACTGGCGACAGTTGCGCGGTTCCCCCCCCTCCCCCGGGGAGCCGGATGTGCGTGCCCCCCCCGGGGAGCCGGATGTGCGCTGCGAGGTCTCGGCTGGATGTGCGTGCTCCCCTGCTCCGCCGTGCTTCCCAACAGCCCACGGCAGCGACGATGGTTGCGAACTTCGCAGCCCCCCAGGGAGCTGCGAAGCCTCGGCTGCATGTGTGGGCACTCCCCTGTTATTCCGCGGTGCTTCCCGGAACCCACGTGCGTGGCGGCAGCTGCACAGTTCGCAGCCACTCAGGGAGCAGCGCGGGAAAAGGCAAGAGGAGGGGTGAGGAGAAGGGGAAGGAGTGGGTACCACAGTGCTCTATTCAAAACGAGAAGCCAACACAGGAGGGCTGGGACCACATCGATACGTTTCGGGCACCCTTCGGCGACTCCGATGTTGGACCCAAGCGCTCCCCAACCGTTCCCAAGCGTTCCCAGACGCTCTCAGGCGTTCCAGACAGTACCAATCCCGCCTAAAACGCTCCCAGACTCGCCGTCGCCACCAGCAGCAACAGCATTCACATCCTCATCGTCCTCGTCCTCGTCACCGGAGAAGGCCTCAAGGAGCAGAGGCATTCCGATCGCGTTGACGCATGGACCACAGACGGTTTTCACAGTGGGGCTTTCGCCCAGCTGGCGCCGCACGCCATCGTTGCACACGACCGAAGAACAGATAGAGGGCGGGCAATTTTCAACAACAAAATGCTCTCGCCCTGGCGCCGTGAATGCTCGGCTTCCGAATTCGCCGCGGCTGCGCGAGCGGATGGCGAGCCTGCTGCAAAGCAGCGGGGGCATGAATCACTTCGCGGGCGGACCCCTGCACAGAGGGGGCACTGGACAAAGGACCCTCAGACAAGACAAGCTGCTTCTCCTCCTCCTCCTCCTGCTCCTCCTCCTCCTCCTCCTCCTCCTCCTCCTCCTGCTCCTCCTCCTCCTCCTCCTCCTCCTCCTCCTCCTCCTCCTCCTCCTCTTCCTCCCCCCTGCTTTCTCTCCGCTTCTGCTCGTTGCTTCCCTCCCTTTCCTTTCCTCCTGCTCCCTGCCTGCTGTTTCCGCCTGGCCCGTCTTCTGCCTGCCCGCCCGCCCAGCCGGCCCTAGCCTCCCGCCTGGGCGTTCGTCGTCGTCTGCCTGCTTCTCCCCTCCTCGTCCCCTTCCGCCGGACCGCGCAGCCTGCCTGGAACCAGCGTGGTGGCATGTAGGGCTTCGAATAGGGATCTGCTGCTTGTCCCATTGACGCTGGAAGCCGGTGGAACTCCAATCGTGGACCGGCCACGGACCTCACAGCCGCCCTCGTCAGGTCAGGAACCCTCCAGGGTCTGCAGCCTCCTCGGCGCATCACTTGTGGGGAAGCCAAAAGGTACCGATACCGCTACTCCCCGGACCTCTCCTGGGGTGCGTTCTGACCAGAATTCCGAGGCGAATCCAGCGGTGGCGACGAGGGCCTCCCCCAACATGATGGACCCACGAACCCGGAAAGGGATATAGACATGTGGAGCATGGGCACGTTTTCACGATACCCAACG